GTACAAGCTATCTCGTTGATTTCAGATCCTTTAAAGATCCCAGACAGTCATCTACATAAAAGCAGTTTACTATAATATTCTTTGTCAATCAGTCAGTAGGGTGGGGTGTGGATAGTGAATAGGTCAATCGAATCATATACTGTGATACGAGTGTTGACAATAAATTGAATCCGACACTTTACCCAGCAAGCAAGATATGCTGCTTCGGTGTATGGTATATCTAACAAACAAGTGAAATGAAATTACAATCTTCTACAATGATGATGATGTATAAGGGTACTTGTTTCACAAATGGATTACTGTGAAATACTATTTGAATGGGTGGTTATCAATCGTCCTTGAAAGTGGAATTTTGTGTAATTTAAAGTTTAATGATGATCACTAACCAATTTTGGCCTTAAACATAGACCACATGGTTGTTTGTATACATCAGTGAAGCGTAGAAGTAGCCTCTAAGGAACTGATTTCCTTACAATAGCCACTTTTGAAGTCACAGAATTTACTGTCAAGTTATGCTTTTCTCAGTGGATTTCCTGTAGAAGTGGGTAAGACAGTATGGATTAGTCACCGAATAATGATGAACTTCAGGTTGTTTAGTCCCAAGTGATGGCCAAATCTTGTCAATCTTTTGTAATATAGGTTACTAAACTAGAAGCTGAGTTATTTTGCTTCACTTAATACCGATCACAGTACATCATGACGGTAAGTTCCTTAGCTTAGTGATCACACTGTAAAATGAACAGTAGAATTTGACCAGCGCTTGAAACTAGACAATATGAAGTCACTTTCTCTGTAGTGATCATTCAATGTGATATTAACTATATCATTTCGAATTCATTATATTGTGTAATGAAGTGCAAAGAAGGGTTAGTTGGGCATACTACATAAGAGTTTTAAACGTTAACTGATGAGCAAGCAAAGCTTCTAGCTTGGAAGGTGATGAGTTGGATCATACTGATTACCAGTGGCTCCTATTTTGGGCACCATAAGTTTGTAGTAGCTTGAATAGATATATATGAAACGAGTTTTCGATAACTGAGGATGATTTGAGAATAAATGTGGAGAAGATGACAAGAACTATACAGAACATTTACTCTAAAATGTATTACTGCGCTCTGTATGATTGAAATTTTAATGAAGAAACATTTACATGGCAAAAAATTTGAACGTGTTTCCACTAGACTGGTCAGTATAAATAATTTTCTTATTTCGATGAAGGGAAATGAATCTTCTGTGATAGTGATAAAGGAATGTGCATCACAAATCAAGTCTAGAAAACAATAGATCAGCAGGAAATTTATACTTTTAAGTACTCTAAAGAAAAAAACACAAAATGAACACTATTACAAGGGAAGTTAAGTATGGAGAAACATGAACATAGAAAACACTCTCCTCCTCGAAATTCTTGCTTTCTCGCCTGCTGCTTTGTCTGTCCTTTTCTCGTTGTAGAAAAATAATTCAGTTCTAAACGTTGGCTTTGTTGCCATCAATAAGTAATTACTTAAGTAACAGACTATGGCTGAAACTACCCCTCATGGAGGGTAACCAGCTTTAGAAAGTTCAGAATACCTAACTACAACAAGTAGAAGTAAAAAAATGTTCACTGGATTACAACTCCATAACTATCAAAATCTAGGACTCACTCATGATAAAAGTGACCAGCAAAGTGAAACACTTACCAATTGCAAGGCTGTCATGACCCGTGAAAACGACGGACAAGATGTTCTGGAAGTTCATTTGGTGCATTCAAATAAGTCTATTGCTTCTAGATGCTGGAGTTGTAGAAGTGAAGATATTTGGCTTTTAGTCATAATATTCATCATGATTATGAATCTTTGTTGTGGAATGGTATTAATATGGATGAATTATACAGTCCAGGAACCATGAATAAAGTACAATATGTAGACAATTCGTGCACACATTCCTTCATGAACTTTTCACCATTATCTCAAGTAGAAAGTACAAAGTGTTACAATGGAAGTATCAGCTTCAAGCTTTAGTTTTCTCCAGGTAATATCTGTAATGTCTGGATACAAAACTGGGTTTTTTTTATGAATGCGAAGACAATACTTTGACTTCTCTAACTTGTAAATTTTCTGCATACTTATTCTGTTGGGATGTTCCATTATATGAACATATAGCACTTATATTTTATAGTGACAACAGATGAGGATTCAGATTACCTTCCATGAAGATACATGTAATTTGTATATAGATTTATTCATACCTTTAAAAATGGTGTGTGCCTGTATATTCAGGAATTATTATTATTATTATTATTATTATTATTATTATTATTATTATTATTATTATTATTATAGTAATGATTTGTCATTAGTGTGCAGTTCAAGAAACCAAAAAATTCAAGTGAAACAACTTATGGGTTCAGTTGTGAGTATATTAATTAAGTCGTAATCTCTGATAAATGTTAGAATGAGAGGATACCTTTGAGCTTTGCTTATCAGCTATAACTAGAAAGAAGCAAATGATGTTGTTGATTCAACAATTGTATGAAAATCGTTTTTTCCTCCAAAGAATGATGAGAAAGGATAACATTTTCATGTGGACTTCTCATTCAAGTTTTCTCGGTTTAGATGATGATCTCTGATGTCATTTGTCAGAGGTAGGTGCCTTCAATAGACCAGACAAATACTGGATCAGTATGATGTAGGAAATAGTGAAATATAACAGGTATAATGGATAGTGGCTATGAGTGGAATACAGGACTCTGGTTTCTCCTTATCCGGGACCCATTAGATGGATGTACCTGCACTCTAGTGAATGATCTTATTCTCAATGAAATGGAAACCCTGAACCGATTGCTTCAAACATAAGAGTATTATCCAAACTAGACCAGTGAGTGATTATAGCCACTTCTTGGGTAGCGGATATAGTATTTGATGTTTTAGCATGTGAATCTCCGATGCTGGTTGGACCAAAATGATCGGCCACAACTGACATCACAATGTTCCTGCAATTCGGACATGGATGTACTCAAACAAACACTAAGATATGGTAGAATCATTGTGTCAGCAGTCATGCAGTTGGAGGTAAAACTGAGTGGTGTAAAAACAACTCACTACATAAATTGACGATGATTTTAAACATAATCCTTTAATGTGCTGCTGTGTAAGGTAGAATTAGAGGATAAAAGCCTTATTCTATTAATACTGACTTTAATTTTTATCGTTCAAGTCAATAAACATATTTCAACTATGTTTTAATGTGGTGGCAGACAACTACCTTCATGCAATTGAAAATGTAATATTGATGAAGGTTACAGACACTACACTTCTGAAAAAAAAGGTATGGTAAAGCTCCAATCATATTCATATTGCAGGCCACCTTAGGTGTTTTAAAACAGTTTGTTCATACGTTAAACGTACCCAGGTTGACGTCAAAACTTACAATACCCCTTCTTGTTTTTTGTATCTCTCCTGTTATTGTATTTCTTATTTCATCATATTTTTCCAAATCCTATTGCTATTTTTGACATAAAACACCGTAAGAAGTAAAGGTGTGATCAGATTGTTTAAAATGGATGATGTTTTAAACGTCACATTTTCAGATAAACTACAACTTTTAATTATGTTATCCAAATTCATATTCTTCTTATTATTATTATATTATTATTTGTCCCTTGAGTTGCTAGTGGAACATAGAACTTCAGTAGCACGTCGCCACTTCACCCTCTTCTCTGCGATCTTTTCAACCTGGCTCAACTACTGCCCATAAGCTTTCATTTCTTCCTCATACCATCTGCATTTCACCCTTGACTCAGACGTCCGACTCGCCGTTTCCCATCTGCGTTCCACTTGAGCAACTGGCCTGACGCGTGATGTCCCCGAATGGTCTTCTCAGTGCATGTCCAATCCATCTCCACTTCCTTCTGCATATTTGTTGAGCGATAGGTTCTTGCTTCGTTGGTTCGTTGCCAGCCAGCCAGAGTCCCTTGTTGCTTATTCTTTCTCGCCATCTAAGCTTCAGTAACGAGCCAGCGTAGGCAGTTGTTGATGAATGTCTGTTGTTTGTTGGAAATGCTTTTCGTAATGCGCCAAGTCTCTGAGCCATACAGAAGCACTGACTTGACTGGGTTGGTGTTGAAAATTCGGATCTTTTTCTTCATGCTGAGTGCAGAAAATCTTCACACTGATTTCAGGTTAATGAAGGCCTATCTTGTCTTTCCGATCCTGGTTTTGATGTCCTTGTCTGTGCCATCTATAGTTGAAACGATGCTGCCTCCTAGGCAGGTAGGTGGAAGAGACAAATCCATTTAGGTTTCTCCCGTTGATAGTGATTGGAGCTTGTTGTTGATGCTGTTGTTGGTTGGGTATCTTCATCACCTCTGTCTTCTCTACATTCACATGAAGTCCCTTCTTCGCTGCTCTGCCTTTTCTGTCAACTTGTTAGTTTTCGGCTGTAGATCTTCGAGTTTTTGCAACAAGACATTAGACATAAATCATCATTGGCGAAATCTAAATCCTCTTCTGGGGTCTTTTCCCCGGTCCAGTGTATCCCTTCCTCTTGCTCCTCACGGGATGTTGCATGATCCAGTCCACTACAATCAGGAATATCATGCGTGATATTAGACGGCCTTGTCTTACTTCTGTCTTCACTTCAAAGGTATCACTGAGCTTCCCATTGTGAATTACTTGGCATGTGGCTTCTTCATATAGTTGTTGAATGGGATTAATAAAGGTTTGTGGTATTCCGTATTGTTGAAGCAGCTGCCTGCCAAATTACTTGTCGGTCGACGCTGTCGAAGGCCTATTCAGAGTCGATGAAATTGAGGTGAGATAGAGAGTTGACTGCCATTCTATGCTCTGTTCTATGATGATGCGTAGCGCGGCGTTGTAATTTATTCCCCACATGATTTGTAGTTCCTCAATACAACCATCCTGTTCTAGTCGTAGTTTTGAATCCAATGCATACTTTAATCTCTCCAGGATCCAAATTCATCGAAAGAACTGATTATTTCAAATAATTAAAACATTATGCATGTAATCAGTTGCTTGTTTTCCTAAGATATTTTCAGTTTCTTGAGATAAAATTCCTCATATTCGTTCAAAAACATACTATTTTCAAATACGCAGATGCGTCATATATACCAGTTATTTGGAAAGACATTTTTAAAAGTTGATTCAAGATGTCCAATGGAATGTAACTTGTGATAACATTCCACCTTAGAAGTAGTATTTATCATAGACTGATATCAGTTAGGGAACCATTGAAAACATTGGAGCACTGAACAACTGGTATGGGACTTCCTCATCAGTACGTACCCACAACTCAGAACTTTTAGGTTTCCCCGGTGAACGTATTAACTAGTTTTCAATGGTTTACAATTTCCAACTTTTGTCAATTCCATGTTAGCAAGTCTTACAATAAAATTGTTAAAACAAAATATCTTTGAATTATTTAATTTTATATTATGAAGTGAAAATAAACTCTTTGTTTTGTATAATAGATTACAGAAGAAGATGAAGAAGAAGAAGAAGGAGAACAAGAAGGAAGACATTGTCCACAGACAACGACAAGAACACCAACAACAATAATAAAGACTATCTTAGATATCTAGGAAAAAATAATAATAAAGGAGTTTTGAAATATATATATATATATATATAATACCTATGAACAGTTAAAGAAATATATTGAAACAGTGTGTAAATGATTAGGAATGAATATGCTCTATGTATACTGACTGTTTCTTGAAATTAAATGTTCAAGTTTCAATTGATGTTTTATCAAATGACGTTTGGGAATATTGTTTATTGTCAATACTATTATTATTATTATTATTATTTGGTTTATCTGTTATCTGATAGTCTGAATAATTATCTGTTGTATATAACTTTTCATCTACTTGTACATGACAAACAATTTCTTGGATTTTACCTTCTATTGACTGTTCAATTTCTTGTTCCCCTGATTTTGGAACAAATTTAGTTATAAATATATCATTATTATTATTATTATTATTATTATTATCTTGGGGTTGATCAATAGTCATTGTTTCATTATTCAATATATTTTGATGTATATCTTTATATTCATCACTTTTCCTTACAATAATAGATGGTTGTATAGTTGAATTAAGATAATTTATACGTATACCTGTATATTCACCGCCGCCAATAGTTTGTGTTGTAATTTGATGATGATAATGATGAGGATATTTTCTTTTCAAAAAAAACATGGTATAATATGATGAAATTCTTTACGAAAATTATTATTCATCCATGCATATAAAAATGGATTATATACAGCACTACTCATTGCTAATAAATGACAGATAAAAAAGATTAAAGTGAAATTTTGTGAATTTTGTATATCATTAATATTTTTATCACTATGTATATCCATTATCATCCATAGAATATTTAATGGTATCCAACAGATAACAAATATTATAACCATTGCTATTAACATTGTATTTGTTCTACGTTTACGTTTAATTTCTCTTTCTTCTTTTAAATGTGTTTTTATTCCACTACCAATTTGTGTATGTAATCTTGATTGTAATAATAAACTAATACGAAAATAACATATTGTTATAATACTACATGGAATAATAAATTGTAAAATAAAACTAACAATTGTAAATACTTCACGTGATGATTCTTTTGGCCAATTTTCACGACAATTTGATATATTAGTAATAGGATCATAATGTTTTTGTTGATAAACAGCTAATGGCATTGAAATGAGTATAGCAATAATCCATACAATGAATATAATTATAAAGCATAACCATATTTTCATTCTTGGTAAAAATGGATGTACAATAACAAAATATCTATCTAATGCAATAGCCATTGATGTCAATGTAGATACATAAACTGATACACCCATTGTAGTTGGTAATAATTTACATACAATTTCTGGTAAAGTCCAATTATTCATATATAATGATAATGGTGTAAATGGTGTAGCTACTATACTCATTAAAATATCTGATATTGCTAAATTTGCAATAAATAAATTTGTTATTGTTTGTAAAGGTTTAACACGTAATACTATCCATACAACTAATAAATTTCCTGTTACACCAATTAAAGTAATACATGAATATAAAGCAATAATTAATAATTTAATTGGAAGTATTTCTTTGGCTACATCATATGTGTAATTTGTTTGATAAACAGGATAATATGATCTACTTTCTATTTGATATTCTTGTTCTTTGTATAGACTGCTGAATGTCTTACAGGATACAATTAATTGTAAAATTAACGTTAAACATATAATGTAATTCATTAGTTCAATATATACATACACTTGAATTAAAGATAATTATTACTTTCTAGAATAAAATTTGATAAAATAAACAAAACAAACAGATAATTAATTAACTTTAATAATATTCATGATGAATCATGGCTAACAATGAAATCCAGGATGAGCATTTCTTCCTATTCGCGATTGGATATACTTGCTTCCCAGTGAATGATATTGTTCCCAACGGGATTCAATGGAACATTCAGTATCATATAAAACAATTATACTAAAAACTATACCTGTTGCACAAAGAAGTGGCTATCGTGGCTCGATGGTGTAGTGGATGGATAACGCTCTGGCGTTTGAAGCGATCGATCCCATGCCAAATCCCAATGGGAACAACATCACTCATTGGGAAGTAGGACGAAATGAGTATCCTGGATTCCATTGCTAGCCATGATCCATCAATAATACAATTAGAAGGCAGGCAATATCGAGGCATCCGCACAGGAGCCCATATGACAATAGTGACCGATCAATTCGGTCCAAGCAACCACGGTATCATATAAAAACAATTATACTATAACTTTAACAATGTTTATTTAATTAGATGTATCATAAAATTATTTGCCTGACGTGTTGGTCGGGCTTGTATATCACAATGACCTAATGAGCTATGCTGTTGCAAATCTTGTTTCCTCTAGTTTCCACAACACCAAAAATGTTTGTTGGGTAATGATTACACAAAAAGCAGTTATCCTTACCCTCAACTTGTTCTTAAACAATGAAATGATGCATTATAATAGCATAGATCAATCATCAGTGATTAGTGATGATTGAAAAGCATAGAACGTATATCCGACTACATCTTCCATAATACAGGCTAATTGTCAAAGAAACGAAAACAGAGTAAAACCATTTACATATATAACAAAAATCATGTCACACGAGCTAGTGAGTCACTGCTTCTATATGGTTCAGAGACTTGGTGCCTTACGAAAAGCACTTCTAACAAACTACAGACATACAACAACAACTGCCTTGATACTAAAGATCAGATAGCCAGAAAGAATAAACAACAAGGAACTCTGGCTGGCTGACAACGAACCAATCAACCAAAACCTATTGCCCAAGAAATATGCAGAAGGAAGTGGAGATGGATTGGGCATACACTGAGAAGACCATTCGGGGACATCACGCGCCAGGCCAGTCACTCGAGTGGAATCCCCATGGGAAGCGACGAGTTGGACGTCCGAGTATGGCATGGAGAGGATCGTGTGAGGAAGAAATGAGAGCTTGTGGGCAGTGATGGAGCCAGGTTAAGAAGACTGGAGACTGCTTACAACAGACTGGAATGGAGACGTTCTACTGAAGTCCTATGTTCCACTAGGCACCCAAATGATAAATAATAATAATAATAATAATAATAATAATAATGATAAAATAGACAATGATCAGGTGAAGCTAAAACCGATTCAAAACAAGAGGAAAAGATAAACAAAGAAATAAATGGGTAAAGATGACTTCGTTAGAATTAGTGGCTTCATTCGGCCACGAATCACACATTAAAGTTACCAAAGGTTGGGTTGATTACAGTTTAGCTTCATCTTGTTTTACTGATTGGGTAGTTTTAGCTTTCCTTTTATATTCAAAATAAATATTTTGTCTATCATTTTGACTGTCTGAGATAACCGTGATTTCGCAGACTTGTAGTAATGATACTGTGTAATGACTGAAGTTGATATGAAAATTTGGACCGTAACCAGATCCGAATTAGCGACTCATGGGTTTCCTGCTCGATACTCTACCAAGTGAGCTATGAGGTTCGACTGCTGACCACACTGTTATCTCACTTCAGTCATCAATGTTGATTGAAGTGAGATAAAAATCTGATCAACAGTTGAACCTTGTAGCTCAGTTGGTAGACTATTAGGCCGGAGACCGAGTGGTCACTGGTTCGAATTTGACTGTGATCCAAATCTTCATTTCACTTTCAATCATCACTTTCATCATTGTCGTTGTGATGGATGTTAGGAGTAAATCGAAAGAGTGACTTGAACCTAAGTTTCATTATTGATAGTACCCTATAGTTAGACATATTTACGACTTCAAGAAAACTGATATGTTCCTAGTGACTGAAATTCATATCAGATGATGGTGTAGGTGAAAATGTTTCTATTGGTCTACTTTGCAAAACTTTCAACCACCCTACTCCACCTATACCAAGTAGTAAGTATCATTAGTCCTTAAGCAATAAATTTGGCTTATTGTCTACAGCTTGAAAATGTATGTAGCTGGTGAGTCGCATTTTGATTTCAGTCTGTTTAGGTAACGAATAATTTCATGTTGAATTATGTTTGGTACAATGATTGGTGGATAGGGAGTAACCAATTTCATTTTACCTATCCGTTAGTGCTGAGCAGATTTTATGAATCATTTTGTTATGCAATTGCCAAACTAGAAGGTTCATTGTAGTGGTGCAAATTTAGCTGATGTTAGTTGGCTGCTTGTTCAATCTGCAGTGAACCTTGTTTGAGGTAAGTAGGCTTTTTGCTTGTTGGTACTCGTCAGTAAAGGGGATGACTTTTAGTATGCACATAAAATTCCCTAAGGACTTCTCGAACACTTGAAAGAGACTGTTGATCGTTCAGACACAAGATACATATCTGCATTAAATGTTGGCAGATTTTTCAAGGAGTCCGTGACATTGAACAGACTCATAAAGCGATGGTTGATGAAATCAGGTTGAAATATTCACCCTAACATAAGATACAGGGTTATAGATATAAGGTACACATGAGTATTAGAGGAAAATGAGTTTATATATGGAAGCCTATCTTCTCTAGAGGCGAGAATGTTGAATCTATTTGGCATCTTAATCGGACGACTATTATCTTGTATGCATAGATAATCTCAAGGTAGTATTCATCATAGAATGACATCAGTTGGAGAACTGCTGAATATCTGGGAGTACTGGGGGCCTATTACTCTCCGGTGTGGGACCGGTCATCAGTGTGCATTCACGACCCCACCACGGACCCAACTCACAACCGTCATGTCCCACCTAGTGGGTTAATGGTAAAATGGCTGACGAACCTGACAGTCTTGCATTCGATCTTTAACAAAGTGTCTACTGCTGAGGGGTCCTATACTCATACAAAACTATTGTACAGCGTCCTTTGCTTTTCAACAGTTTGCTAGCTGATATACCTTGAAAGAAGTCGATCTCAAATAATCTGAAAATTGATTTACATAGATAATGAATTGGGATTTTTTTTCCACTACGGAATAATATCCAGGAGTTATGAATAGAAGAAATATTTGTTATCCCCAACGTTTATGATGTTAAACAAAACTGAGTGTTATATTATTTTAGAAGTTTTACGGGAATAAAACGTCCTAAATAAAATTCCTTATTTCCCAAGTTATTATACTAATCAATCTGTCATAGTTTAGTCACTGTAATTGTATGAAAATCTATAGTCTTTGAAAAAAATGAAAAAGATTTGTAGCTCAAGATGATAATATCGGTTCAATGTTCATTGTCGTGAATTTTTCATCACCAGGCTGAGTAACATCCTCAGTGGTAGCTTTTTAATAAAGTTAGAGCTGAGGATAACACCCTGACAATAGATGAAACATCCAGCCACATTATGTCATCTCACGAAGAGGAAGTATTAAATTTGAGATTGCTCATATTGATCTTGATGACCAGCAGAAGAAGCCAGAAGGCACGTAGCCACACCTCAGTGCGGAGTGATCTTGTTCCCATTGAGACTTGAACCTATTACTCTTCACTTCAAACACCAAAAGGTTATCCACTAAGTCACTGAGGTACGATAGCTATCTCTTGCGCAAAGGGAATGAGTAGAACCTCAGTGGGAACAACATCACTGCGCACTGAAGTGCAGGTATATCCAGCTGACAAGTCCCAAACTGGGTGAAAGCCGCCTCCTTTATCCCTCTGCTAGTTACTTAGATCAATATAACATAATGAATGACCGAAAATATCGAGGCATTCACATAAGCACCCATCTGTCAACAGCGGTCGAGCAATTCAGCTCTGTATAACAGGAATCGTTTATTGGTGTAGTTAGGTGTTCTGTATAAAACTACTATGCTTAACATGTCGGAATAAAATAATCACTGTTATACTTACTGAAATCTAATGATGAAGTTAAAAATCTAGCCCATAAAGTAAGTCATCAAGTAAACTAATTTAGTGCATTTGTTCATGTATTGTCCGACCGGCGGCTGCTACCTTGACGTGGTGGTCGGTCTTGCATATCACAACGAACCGACGATCTATGCTGGTGGAACGCTTGTTCCCCATACCAGTAAGGTCTGTTGGGTAGTGATAAGACGAAAAGCACTTACCGTTGTGGTGTAAATTACTACACTATGATGGGGGGTCTGAGGTCGAAGTCGTACTGCTGCTAGCTGAATGGGGTGTAACAGCAGTAAGGTGTTTCTTTTGGATGACCAGCAGTGCCATGCTGATGCTGCCTTCTCAGTAGGAGGGGAAGGTTAGAAAAGGTTGGCCCCAAAAATAACACACTCTGCCACACCGCAAGGTCTATCGGGCCGGCGGTGTTGGTTCATTTTTCGTTTCTTTTCGGCCATCAGGCTCCAAAAATACAAAAGTTCAAAATAATCATACTCAAAGGGCTACGTGTGACAGGTCTCAAGCAGATATCCGATGGGCTCTGCGGCCACACAAATCTCTTTCAGGTACCTTAAGAAGAAACAACCTTCCACGGTGCAGGCAGCCGGGAAATGTCAACTGCCCTCACAACTCGATCAGCATTCAAATTTCCTCAGACTGATGATGATGTTCATGTATAGTTAAGGGATTTGTAATGCAACTATTAAATGTGAACTGTTGATAAGACTTGTTAGTAAATACTGTGGTATATAAATTCCATTTTGAGGCTATCCAGAAAATAGGTAACAGGGATAGATAGTGACTAGTGGTGTAATCTCTAATGCAGGTTTCGTCCCATTTAGGACTCATCAGCCAGATGTTTGTACATCTTAGT